TACCCTTAAACTAAAGATACCAAGAGGAATAAAAGGACAGAGAGTAGTAATATGTTTAAAGAGACTAATGGGGATGCACAGGGAACTAATTCATCTATCAGTTTAGGGTCCTTTTGTTGTTTTTCTTTTAAGATATTAACCAAGTAGAAAGTAAAGGTAGTGGGGGAATGATATAAAAGGCCTGTAAAAATCATATGAGAAGTGCTAAAAAGCTCAGAAAGATCTGAGGCTGACAGACAAATCTAATGACAAAAAAAGGCTTTTAAAATAATTTTTTAAATGTATTGTTGAAGAAAAAGAAGAGATTCAAAGACAGTATAGGACTGACTATGGAGAGAAGCTGCTTAATTCTTTCTTCACTTTTGTTTTCTCTGCAAAGAAGAATAATCTTTGTACTAGAAAGAAAAATTTAGTAATAAGAAATTGCATCCAAGATAAGCAGGGAAAGAGTAAGAGGGAATCTAGCTGCTCTATATAGTTCAACTCATCAGACTCAGATGAACCATATCCTTGGGTACTATATCTTTCTTTGTATCCCCAGAACTTATTACAATACTCTGGAACATAGTGGGCACTTAATAAATGTTGACTGACTGACTTGGGTACTGAACTGAACTATGGTCAATGATCTTTTAAAAACCAAAATTGATGGAAATACCAGGAATTTCAAAGATCCCCCCAAAAGGTCCCTGTTTTGAAAAAAGAAGGAAGAGAATGGGTCTGAAAACTTTAGGTCAGTGAGTTTAACTTTAATTCCTGGTTAGAGATAATTAATAAATACCTAGAAAAGGAAGTGGTGATCACAAAACGCTGTCATGACCTCATCAATCAGTAAGAATTTAAGTGCCTTCTATGTACTGATCATTGTAAAAAGACAGAAGATAACATAAAAAGAAAGAAATAATCCCTACTAGAAAGCTTACATTTTAATGGCAAAGACAAGTACTCATATAAACACCATAAAGTGAATAAATACCAATGTATACAATACATACAAAGTAAAGTACTAGATAATAACTTTATTTTCTATTTTTAACAACTTTACCAGACTTATTGATCAAGAGAATGATGTAATTTATTGAAGAAGGCTTTTTAAAGTTTTGAAGCCTTTTGCTTTTATGATAGTCATTTCCTTCTATTGCCCTACCACCAACCCCAGTGAGCCCTCCTTTAAGAGGCAGTTAGGTACTGCAGTGGATGGAAGGCTGACCCTAGTATCAGGAAAACCTGAGTTCAGATCCCCTCAGATCCTTACCAGCTAGGTGACCCTGGGCAAGTCACTTAACCTCTGCTTCAGTTTCAACTGTAAAATAGGGGGAATAACAGAACCTACCTCCCAGGGTTGTGAGGATCAATGAGATATTTGTAAAGTGTTAACAAAGTGACTGGCACATAGTAGGTGCTTAATAAATGTTTCTTTCATTCCTTGTAACATAACTCTTCCTTGGAGAACTATGGTGAAAGAACCTTTTTCATTATCCATGAAGATTTGCTTAATTGACAGCTGAGCCAAGGGCTATCCCCATCATTTAGCATGGGGGCATCATTTTGTGGCTTGAAAGGAGGTAAAATAGTCAACTCCAACCTCTTCTCCCTCTGACATTTCTTCAAGGGAGACTATTTCCTTCCAGGAGAGGAAGCAAAAGATTAGGGCCAGAAGCTTGGCCACTCTTTTCTCCTCAGAGAGTGGGGAATACTGGGTTAAAATTATATCTGTGTTCTTAAATATTGTTGTTCTAGGGGATATGATTTTCAGGCTCAACCTAAACTTCTGATTGCTAGTCATTAATGGGGGGAGGAAAGAAAGACCTCCCACCCCCAAGGTTTCTCTCCAAAGCCTGACACCCTCCCCCTTCCCACTAAATATCAGTTCCACGATGAACATAGAGAAGGTAGCAAAGAAACCCATTTATCCAAGTCTCTAGCAAAACAGAATTCAGAGAAAGTATATATATGAGAATATATACTAGACAATAAAGAGTGAAGATCTCCCACTGGGAGTGAGGTAACTAAGCTCAACCAACTGAGAGTCCCAGATCTTGTGCAAAGGGAAATTTCCCAGTCTCTAGTGTAGCAAGCTGGTGATAGGGACACGATGGAGACTGACAGCGCCTCTCTTGTTGTCTTCTCCTCAGAGTCTTTTCCTTCAGCAACTTGAAGTAGGGTTGGCATTTTCCATTTTCATTCTTGAAGTTGGAAGCTAGAAGTATCCAAAGCAACTGCAGAACCTAAAAAGACTCAAGAGATTACACAAGACCTAGAGAGACTCAAAGAGATTGGCATTCTTTCCTTTTCTCATCAACTCTTCCCTGCCCCTTATGCAGGTGTAGGACACTGCTATCTACTAATGAGAGAATCCCATACCTATGGGCTTTGGGACTCAGGTTAACAACTAAAAGGGCAATCCTGGCCTCTCCCTTCTGCTGAGCTCCCAGAAGTCAACAGGGGCAGGAAAGAGAGGCTTGCCCATGAACACATAAGTCAGCATGTCTGTTTGGGATTGGGTCATCTGTTTCTGCATTCTTTCCTTTGGTTCACAGCTTTGTGAGATCTCAAAGGTATCAGGAATCTTTCCTCTTCCCAGCAACAGCTATCAGAGCAGTTGCAGAGGCAACAGCATAGCAAAAGAAGCCACAGGACTAGATATGAAGTGTCACCCAGAGAGAGAAAAACCACAGAAGAGAAAAAGAGCCCACTTGGCTTACTGGAACGGAAATGCAAAATAGTTAATGATCAATTGTTGCAAAGTTGCAGTAGTAATAGTGGTTGCTGTTGTTGTTGTGGCATTTATGTAGCATTTAAGTTTACAAAGTGCTTCACAAATATTCTCTTTTTGTCCTAATGACAAACCCTGGGACCTTTTTTTTTTAAAGCTATCTTTATTTAGCATATGTAGACATAAAAGAGAATTCACTGTCTGATCCTGCCCAGCAGAAAAGATGCACTGATCCATGGTATATGAATGAAGAGGGGACCTAGGCCTCACAATAGTGGCTGGGATGGTGCAATCCTGCCAGTCACAGCTGCAGGATGGTAGAGAGCTGTACTGAGCCGCTGGGTGGGCCATGGTCCTGTAGAAGTTAACATTAGAATAAGCATGCACCATGGCCAGAGGTCTGTTTGATGCTCTCAGAATAATACCACTAACAGCCGTCTTGTCTGTTCCTCCTTTGGAAGCATGGATAAAGGCCTGAACCATCTCCTGAGTGACAAATACCCTAAAGAGCTCCTCTGGTGAGCAGTGTCCTTCAAAATGACCCTGAAGGCAGGGATCTGCATACCAACGGTTTTAGGCTGACTTGCCAAAAGTACCAGGTGTGACTTTGAACTCTTTAGCTTTCTCAGGCAGCTGGGGGGCTGGATCTACTGTCTTGCCACTCAGAGTAGGTAACATCTTCCCCTGTATGAATTCTGTTTTTAAGAGTCCTGATATGTTTCCACAGCATCCCGGATCTTTGTCACACCTTCTTGCTTCATTAAGGCCAAGAGGGTTGTGTCATGCTATCTCTGGCAAAGTTGACAACAACCTCTACTTCACTGATGTCTTTTTCATCTGACAAGTTGGGGATGTCAGTGTCCCTTGTATTTCACTCCTGACTTAGTATTTGTCCAGTTCCATTTGATGGTCCATTCACAGAAGATGAGTTTGCCTTTGTGACTGTTGATTGATGCCTCTCCATCAAGCTTGCTTACTTGTCACCTAACAGTTGCCCTCTTCACCTTGTACTTGGATTGATAGAAACAGGGATTTCAGTTTATCAATGGACCAGTTTGAACCATCCCTCCCAGTCCAGTGCCAGTCATTGACATTAGTGGCATCTGCCTGCTTCTCCATGATCCAGCATGGGTCACCCTTGTGCCCTTATTATCCCCATTTTACAGATGAGGAAACTAACGTTGACATCCGTTAAATTACTTGCCCACGGCTACACAGCTAGTGTCTGAGGCTGGTCTTCTATTATGTATGTGTGGTCATCAAAAACAAAAGCCTTTCCCAATCTTGGGCTCCTTTTTCTATTTCTGAAAATTAGCACTCCTGACACTATTCTTACAGGGCTATGCCAAACTTATAGTGTATATTCATTCCTCATTACATGTTCTTCCTTCAATGCACATACTTTTTTTATTCTTAGCTTGATTTCCCTGTGCATCCACATCAGACAGCTTTTTCATCAAAATTGTTTTTCTTTGTTTCTTCAGCATTTCATTCTTGAGAACTTTTGATCCTCCTCCAACTTTCCATTCTCTCCAGCAATTCAATAACTTATTTTATTGCTACTAACATTTTATTACACTATACTTAATAAGTACTAGCATTTATGTAGCACTTTAGGTTTTCTAAGTGCTTTTATCCTCAAGCCAACCTTGGAGGTAGCTATTAGTATTTCTGTTTTTATGAATGAGGAAACTAAGGCAGACGAAGTGAACTGCCCAGAGGCACACAGTTAAGGCCACCTTAGAACTCAGATCTCGTCTCCAGGTCCAGCGTCCTATCCACGGCGCCATCTGGCGGCCTCCACTTTCCCACGCTTATTAAGGTAATTGTAGAGCATAACAAAGGTATCCTCGATGAAAGTATGAGAAAGCCAAAGATGTCCTAAAGGTAAAGGGAGTAGTATGGCGCATGCGCTCCCCGGCTGGACTTCCTCGCAATCACAACGGTCCCTAACGGCTATTCCAGGCGAGCGACGGGGCTGTACCCTCCCCCCTCTGCCTTAAAGGAGGGAGGGGAGGTGTCTTCGAAGGGCCGTACCGGGCTCATATTACCTTCCCGCCCTGCACCGGGAGGTGTCTCGAGGCTCGCTGCTCCGCTTCGCCGCATTCCTACTGTTCCAGCCCTCAGTCCCGCCCCCACAAGCGCGGGATCAGGAGGCGCGCCTGCCCTCGGCCCCGCCTCCCGCGCAGAGGACGGCCGGTGACGTCACATTGCGCGACGTGAAGAGGCTTTCGGGACCCGCGGGGGTGGAGGGAGGACCCGCCTCTCGGAATCCGAACCCAAGCCTCGTGACGCCATCAGCGGGCGCCGCTGGGGAGCCGCGTGTGGGGCGGGCGTGGTAGGACTGACGGGGAACCGAGAAGCCAGAGAGAACATGCTGCAGCTGCTCGGCAGCCTCGGCGACCTGGTGCTGCTCCGAGACTCGGTGGAGTGGGAGGGCCGGAGCCTGCTGAAGGCTTTGATTCGGGAGGTGGCCCTGAAAGGGGAGCGAGTGCAGGTCCTGGGCTGCGAGGTGAGCGAAGAGGCTTTCAGGGAAGGCCTGGACGCCGATACCAACCGGCGGCTCGTTTACCACGATGTCTTCGGAGACCCCCAGGGCTGGGCTGGGAGCGGGGGGCCCTTGGGAGCCCTGAGGGCGTGCTTGAGGGGAGCCGAGCCCGGCCCCTGCACCCTCGCCGTGGACTCCCTCAGCTGGCTGCTGCTCCGCACCCCCTGCAGCGCCCTCTGCCAGGCGCTGAGAGCCCTGGGCCGTGGCAGCGCCCACGCCGGACAGGTCCGGGTGCTTGGCCTGCTGCACGAGGACGTGCATGGGCCAGGCCCCCTGGGCGCCTTGGGGAGTCTGGCCCAGGTCGAGGTGACGGTGGGAGGCAGCTTGGGCTGCACCACTGCGCGCGTCCTGCACCCCAAGCCCAGACACGCCCGGTCGAGCAGACTCATTGGCTCTCCATCCTGCCCAACTTCAGCCTGCAGTTCCACGGGGAACCCCCTTTGGAGGCCCAGCTTCACCGCAGACCCCCGTCCCCCACGATGGACGTCATGGCAGACTTAACCTTTAACGTCCACCTGTCCAAGAAGGAAAGAGAGGCCCGGGATACCCTGGCCCTACCCTTCCATTTCAGTTCTGAAAAGCAGCAATCCTTGCTTCATCCTACTCTAGCCTCTTCCACCAGCCAAATATTTTATGAGCCTGATGCTGAAGACTACCTGGACCAGGAGGATCCAGACAATGACCTGGATATCTGATGGTTCTGGAAGACCTCGCTGTGGTATTGACCTAGATCCTGTTGCTGTACTGTACTCGTATCTCAGCTTGAAAGTTATGGTTTAAAGTCACTGTATAAGCCAAAAATTGGTATAGTCACAATTGCCTTTGAAAATCCTAAAGTTCCCCGTTAAATATATAGTATAGTATCTTTAAACAGTTGTAGCTGGGAAAGGGTTAGTAGCTCTTTTTTAAAAGGCAATCTGTCAGAGGGCAGATGGTGCATAAGTGGTTGCTGTAAAAGTAATTGAATATAAATTTTATTTTACACTGTACCCAGGTTAGCTATTGATTAGGAGACAGGAGAGTAACTGGTCTTCTCAAATCCGGAAAAAAAGCAGATAAACATTTAATAAAGAAAATTGATGGTTAGGGGAAAAAAACTTTTAAAGGGGCTTTACATGTAAGAATGATATTAAAGATGGACCACACCATGATATGAATTGTTTCACCAGGAAATGCAAGGGAACAATTCATTAGGGGCCTTCTAGCCAACCAGAAATTCTAGAAAGGGTAACTAATTAGGCTACCTTTCTCATCACATTTACCTCTAATTTATGGGCACAATTAGGAGATTCTAGAATCACTTCAAATCATGTACATATTGATTGTGCCATTGAATGGAGTAACAGGTTTCACCTGTGTTATTTGAATTATTTTTCTCTCCCTTTTTAATGATTGTCGAACAAGTACAATTGAGTTAATTTAAAGTTAAAAAACAAAAGGGTGGGGCCGAGTTTGACTAAATTTGGAAGAAAAGGAGAATCAAAGGAGGGACAGGACCACTGTTCATTGTGAGTGGAAAGATTAAAACCATTCATGGAGAGAAGGCAGAGCTGTTCAGCTTTTATTTTGAATCCGTTTTCTCTGCTAAAAAGAAGAATCTTGGGGGAGGGGCAGTATCAAAAGTGAGCTTCTGTCCAAGTTAAGTGTAATGGTGGTTATCAGAAGACCCCTTAGATGTGTTGGACTGGAGCATTTCCATGGAGTTGGGCCTACACCCTATCTACTGCCAGTCACACCTGTGCTCTGGCTAGGTCACTTCCTGTAAAACTGAATATACTTCCTGCCCTCTTCCAGTGGCCCGATAATAAGTCACTTCTATTGACACATGAGCCTTGGTCTCTTGCTCAGGAATATGCTGGAACAAAAGCTCTTAGTTGGTCCCTAAGTCCCTGTGATGGAGAATGGAGCCTAGGTGTGCCAAAGAGGATAGGCCATTGAGCCAACCCACTTAGTAGACTTTAAGAGGAGTGACTTCACCTTCTTGCCTGTTCTCTTCCTGATGGTCAAATATGTCAGGACTCTTCAGGATTTACCTTAGACTTTCAGTAATGGGAGAAACAATTGCTGTCCCCTTCTCCCAGCAGTTTTGGCAGCTGCTCACACATAGCAATGAGAGCATGTACTGTCTAGGAAGGACTGAGATTAAATCACAATGCCCAGGCTTCCTCTTTATTTTTCTTACCTGAGCAGAGATCACCAAACAATCCTGAGATGAATATTGCTAGCCTTGGCAGCAACCTTGTAAGCTCAAGAACCTGGGATTTCCAGAATCAAGTGCAATTTCCTAGTGGAAAGTATTCCTGTTTGGACAGTATTTCTTAGAAGAAAAGATAGCCACTGACAAGGTGAGCCTAGCTTGCTAGAAAATATAGACCTTGAGTGAGCTGAGCAGACGGCGTAGATCTGAAGTGAAATTGCTCAAGATTGCCTGCTCAGCAATCTCACAAGTTTCTGAGGCGCCTTTACCTTTTGGGAGAATATAATAAAAATTATGAGTTACTATATCGTGCTTAAATATTTGTCAATGTGTGCTTTTGAGTCTTGTTTTAAACATTTATTTTGTGGTAAAGGAAATAGCCATGCTATGTTTTTTATATGTTATATGTATTATTACATGTTATATATATATGTATACATAAATTATATATGTATATACATGTGTGTATATACATGTATATATATATACACACACACACAACACATATATATTAGGTATTATAAGATCTACTTGATACACTGAGTATCTTTTGTAAAGGATCTTATTAATTATTTTTGGGCAGCCCCTACACATTAGCCAAACCAAAGATTTGAGAGATGTGCCCCTAGGGCCATAGAATGAAGGTGTAATGAGCCAAAGAGTGCAAGAGAGCATGGGTCCCATTGCTGGAAAGATTCTTGCACTTCTGTTGCTCCTTGCATAGGTAATGAAATGCAAGCATGTAGCTGTTTGGTGTACTTGAGGCACCAGACCAAGATGAACTACATTCTTGGAGGTTGTAATAACTGCCAGATCTCATTAGTAAACCAATATTAATTATCTTTTAAAGATTTTGAAGAATCTTCCCCATTTTTAATCAACCAAGAAACATTTATTAAATGCTTACTCTGTGTCAGGCACTATGCTAAGCATTGAGCCTTTTGATAGCAGATTGTTACATGCACTATTCGATGTTGTTATTTTGTCAATCATTTTTCTTTAATTGTTTTTATTTCTTCACAAGGGATAGTGAAATAGGGGAGGAACAGAAAATATCTAGATTCTAAAACAAGAGGTATTAACAAAATTTTAAAAATGAATAAAGATTATGGAGGGTGGGAAAGATATTAACAAACTTGCAAAATTTAGTGTTGAAAGACAAAACATCTGAGCAGGAATACTAAAGAATATGTATGTGTGGTATTGATTAGAGAAATGAAGATTAAAACAAGATACCACCTTACCCATCAGATTGGCAAATTTGACACAAAAGAAAAATGATAATTGTGGGAGGGGATGTAGGAAAACTGGGACACTAATGCATTGTTGGTGAGTTGTGAACTGATCCAACCATTCTGGAGTGGAATTTGGAACTAGGTCCAAAGGGCTGTAAAACTGCGGACTGTAAAACTGTTTGATCCAGCAAGATCACTACTAGATCTGTATCCTAAAGAGATCCACTAAAAAAGAGAAAAGAACTTACTTGTACAAAAATATTTATAGCACTTCTTTTTGTGGTGACTAAGAATTGGAAATTGTGGGGATGCTTATCAAATGGGGAGTGGCTGAACAAGTTATGATGTATAATTGTAATGGAATATTATTGTACTGTAAGAAATGACAAGCAGGATACTTTCAGAAAAACTTGGAAAGACTTAACTTGAACTAATCCAAAGGGAGGTGAAGCAGAACCAGGAGAACATTGTACACAGTATCAGCAATATTGTACAATGAAGAACTGTGAATGACTTAGCTGTTCTCAACAATACAACGATCCAAGACAATCCTAAAACATTCATGATGAAAAATACTGTCCACCTCCAGAGCAAGAACTGATGTCATCTAAATGTAGACCAAACCATAGTATTTTCACTTTTTTGTTGTTGTTCATGTTTTCTTACACAAAATGACTTATATGGAAATGTTTTACATGACTGCATATCTATAACATATTAAATTGTTTACCATCTCAGGGAGGAGGGGAAGGAAGGGACAGAATTTGGAACTCAAAACAAGAACAGTGAATGTTAAAAAAAATTGTTTTTACAATGTAATTGGGGAAAGTATTTAAAAAATAAAAAAGTACGTGGGGGAAAAGAATGTGTGTGTGTGTGTGTGTGTGTGTGTGTGTGTGTGTGTGTGTGTGTATTAGCACCACATGGCACCTTTACAAAAATTGCATGTGCTGGGACTAGAGAAAATAAGAGTTTAAAAAAAAAAGAAGCAATAATAAATTAAGTATTAAAACAAGGTACCACCTCACCCATCAGATTGGCAAATATGACACAAAATTGATGAATGTGGGAGGGGATGTGGGGAAACTGGGACTGTAGTGCATTGTTGATGGAATTGTGAACTGATCCAACCATTCAAGAGAAGAATTTGGATACTAAATACTAAACACCACCTTTACTATGTAATGCAAAAAAAAAGTGGTCCAGAGAATACTACAAAAAGATACAAACCTAAATGGAGGCTTAATAATGACATGCTGAATAAATAGTGGAATTAAGAACAAATATCAGAAATGGTGACAGAGAATGATAATGATGAGACAACAGACCAGAATTTGTGGGATACAGCTAAAGAAACATCTAGGAACATATATCAACAAAGTGTAAAAAAAAAAAACAATGAATTTAATAAGCAATTAGAAACATCCAAAGGAAGAACAAAAGAGGGAATATTGAAAATTAGAAGAAAAATAGACAATAGAATTAATAAAACTAAAACCCAATTCTTTAAAAAAAAAAGCTAGCAAAATTAATAAACCTGAAGTTAATCTGAACAAAAATAAGAAAATTAACAAAGTAAAACATTAAGGCAAAATCACAAGACAGAATAATTTGAAAGGATTATCAGAAAATATCAGATACCATTGTGTGCCAGCAAAGCTATGAATTTAAAAGAAATGGAAGTTTATCTAAAGATAGTTATAACATTCACATTGGCATATGGCTATGATGGTAATATTAATGTGCTAGAAGAAATGAGGCAAGTGGTTTCAGAAAAAAAGACCTATGTGAACTGATGCAAAGTGAAATGAAAAGAATCAGATCATTATGCACAGTAACAGCAATATTGTAATGATGATCAGCTGTGAAAGACTTAGCTACTCTGATCAAAACAATGATCAAAGACAATTCTGAAAGACTCATGAAAAAAAAAATGCTATCCATCTCCAGAGAGAGAACTGATGAACTCTGAGTGCGAATTGAAGTATAATTTTCTAGCTCTGTATGTGTGAGTGTAAGATATGGCTAATATGGAAATATGCTTCACATGATTTCACATATATAATTGATATGTTGTTTGCCTTCTCAGTGGGTGGGGAAGGGATGGGAGGGAGAGAAACTGGGAGTCAAAAGAATGTTAAAAATAAATACTCTTTAAAAAAAAATTCACATCAACGTAAAAATGAAATTGAACTAGTTATACAGTAACTATCAAAGAAAAAATCCCTGGCCCAGACAAATTTACAATCAATATTAGCAGATATTTAAAAAGCAACTGTTATGTAGGAGTATTACAGAAAAAATGCAAAATGTTTCAAATTAAAAGAGAGAGAGAATGGAGTCTGCAAACTATAGTTCGATTAGCTTGATGCTGATTCCCGAAAAAAATACTGGAACATTATTAGAGAAAGATGGTTAGTGAACATTTAGAAAAGAGCGGATCACAAAGAGCCAGTGTGACACCATCAAAAACAGGTCTTGATGCACTAAACTTATTTTCGTTTTTGAAAAGCCTACTATACTATTATTTTAGCAAAGTATTAAGTACCTGCTTAGTTCCAGGAACTGTGGTAGGGCCTGAGGATACAAATAAAAAGGGAAGTAGTGTCT